ATATATATATATATATATATATATATATATATATATATATGCCTAAACTCTTATTACGATAAGCTTGTGAAGCTCAAAATTTCTTTGCTCAGATCAGTTTAAAATTCTGTTTCTTGTGCCTTGTAAATTTTAACTGGTATGCATTTGAAGCTTCTGTAACCTCTGAAATGTTTACAATATTTACACCAAAATATGATAGATAATGTGTTTTAAATTAAATTTGTCTGGTGAGAAGAAAACCCAACATTGGACTATAAAGCAGCAACGATTCCTCTCCAACATTAAAATCAACACATACAGACACAAATAGGCTGCTGCTAATGCAGAGTAAATGTCAGACTGCTCTGTGTACAGTACATTAGTTCAGTACTTCTTCCAGAGTCATAATGCAGCACAGCTTTAGCACTCTGCCTGAAATAACTGAGCCTATTATCACACACAGAGACGTCTAATGAGTGTGGAAACAGTAACAACAGAAAATAACATTTTTATATAACACTATTCAAATCAGGTGTTTGCCAGACAGACAGTGGGAATGTGCAGATGCATTCAAAACATGAAAATGGTGATGTAGTGAAACATACCATCGACGCAGGAGGGCATCGCCCGAGTGGTGCCGGCAACTTGACCCGGGAAACAAGAACATTTGACAGTCTGAGATCTCTCCTCGATCTTGTTCTTGTTGCAGCAGCGGTGGGCAGCGATGACTTCACATGTTCCTGCCTTCACGTGCACTGTGAAAGAAACAGTCTTCAGTGAGCAAAGATGTTATGTGATTGATTTATTTTACCAAAAGTTTGATTAAAAAAGGTAAATAAGTAGAAAGATGTTGCAGAAGGTTAGGGCATTGCAAATGTAACAATTAAAAATAAAATTGCCTCTAAAATGAAAGTGCATATAGTGTGGGTGCTTGTGAAGAAAAACATTCAATTCAACAATACTTTATTAATCCCAAAGGAAAATTAATTGTTGTAGTTCATCAACTTGGTTTCATTAGAGTTGTTATAGATGCTGATGGCTGTGGGCAGGAAGGATGTCTAGCAGTCCGTCCCACAGTGGATCCGAAGAAACTGGCTGCAGATGCCGATCCATCCACCCAGACCCAGCAGACCTCTTAGTCCTCTTGGGCAGCAGGACTGCCTGAATGCTGTGCAGAACTCCTCCCTGAGCGATGGCCATTTCTCCCAGCAGCCTGCCGAGCCTCTCATCGCCACAGACTTAACTGAAGGTGCCAGGGAACGATTTCGGTCCTCCCGCTGTCACGAGCCGCGTTTCCTGCTACCTCCAAGATCTCGGTGGTCAGGAACTCGAGCACCACTTCCAGGTAGATGGGAATGCATCAATGGCACTTCCTTTTCAACTCTTTTGGGATTTGGGGCTGTAGTTGAGGTATTTTTTGAGCTTTTAAGGTGTTAATCAGCAGCTCCCAGTTGTAGAAAACCACCTTGTTGTTATGGCTACGCATCATAACAAATGTCCAAAAGTAAAAAATGTTTCAGAAAAAATCCTTCCAGCGGCACAGCATCTGATACCAGAGGAAGTTACCATCGGAAAAAAGTGATTTACATCCAGAAAAAAAAAGAGAAATTAAAGTTTTCAAAAGCAAAAATTCAGAATGAATGTAAGAAAGCTACTCCAACATGCAGCCACCTTGAGCAGTGCAATTCTAGAATAGATTGACATGACAGACAAAGCATTTGCCAAATAAAATGGAATCCAAATTTCAAAGACATAGTCAGCTCTCTGCTCCACACAGAGGGCTGTGGTAGCTCGGTGATCTTTGGTTGCATCAGGAAGGACATCCAGTGTAAAAATAATTGCCAAGTCTTTGTGCGACTTAGTTCGCTGTGGCGACCCCTGAAGAACGGAGCAGCCAAAATACAGTAATTCAATTCAGTTTTCTATTCAGTTTATTCATATAGCGCCAAGTCACAACAGAAGTCATCTCAGGGCACTGAACAGAAACATTCATATAAAAAAATAAGTTAACAAAAATATTCATCTTGGCAGCACGGTGGCGCAACTGGTAGAGCTGCTGCCTCTCAGCGAACAGGTCCCTGGTTCAAACCCCGGTCCAGGGGCCTTCTGGGTGGAGTTTGCACGTTCTCTCCGTGCATGCATGGGTTTTCTCCGGGTACTCCGGTTTCCTCCCACAGACCAAAAACATGCATGTTAGGCTGATTGGTAACTAAATTGTCCCTAGGTGTGAGTGAGAGAGTAAATGGTTGTTTGTCTCGTTTGTCTCTATGTGGCCCTGTGATGGACTTGCGACCTGTCCAGGGTGTACCCCGCCCCTCGCACAGTGATTGCTGGACATGGGCACCAGCGACCCCCGTGACCCAAAAGGGAATAAACGGGTAAAGAAAATGGATGGATGGAAATATTCATCTTTAAAAATAATAATTTAACACTACCTGAAATTAGTTAAATAAAAGATGGAAAAAAGTGAATGAATAAAGCACCAAATGTGAATAAACAGAAAACAACTAGTGTATCGGTATTTAAAGGCCTTGTAGTCCTTGATGGAATGCAGCTCACCCACCTCCTTTCATGTCAGATTTAAAAACTAAATTATTCTTCTGATGAACAAGTTATAGCTGTGTTGGTCAATACTTATATGTAATGAGTGCAGAACTTTGTGCTACTGTGAGATTTTGCAAGGTGTGTTAAGACTGTATGTTGGGAATGACTACCTGACTATCACATCACTTTTAGCTCAGTATCTATTTGACTAAGTTAAAGATATTTTTGCTTTGCTTAATTTGATTAGGCTGTGACAACATTTTTTTTTTTTTTTTTTTTTTTGAGTGACTCCAAATGTTTGAGTTTTAGGTGTACACCCAGTGCTTACTTCCTGTGAGTTTCACAAAAAACCATCCAAATATTTTGCTAACAGACAAATATATTTGACAGAGAATGCCAGTGTTAAAGTTATTGTGTCATGTCTAGTGTTCAGAGTATGGCTTAAGGAGTTGAGCTGCTATCTACATCTGTAAAACTGACTGCGTTATGGCCATCTGTGTGAGTCCCAACAGTTGCTTTGGCAGCCATCTTGAATTAAATATACTTCAAAAGGTAGTCATCAAAATAAACCTAATGACTGTTTTTGAACATTCAAAATATTTCATATAAACAATAAATCCATCCAGTGGTTCATACCAGATGATCTGTGTTTTGAACCTGTATGCTCCACACTGGTTAGTCGTCATATTTATTATCTGCATCGTTTTTATGTCTATATTCTGATTTACTTCATTTTGTATGTTGCTTTGTGTGTTGCCTGTTTTTCTGTCTGTACAGCACTTTGGTTGGCCTTGTCGCTGTTTTAAGTGCTCTATAAATAAAATGGTATGGTATAAAATATTTTGCTAACAGACAAAGTTGACTAATAGGTACATGTTGAGGATCTTGGCTACAAACACTAAATTTTTGTTCAACGTCTGTAAAACTGATTGGGTGTGATTGCTTATCTGTTGCAGTCATCTTAAATCAAACTTTTATCACTTGTTGTGGTCCCTCCAACAACTAGTTTCATTCAAATCTGTTCATTAGTTTGATATATTTTGCTAACATTACAAATGCATGCACACACAGATGAGCGCAAACTTATTCGACCTTTTGCTTTTGGTGGTGGTGGTGGTGTGTGTGTGGGGGGGGGGACTGCTGGAGCATTGATTGATATACAATATATGTGATATTTGATATATTTCTCTATTATTTTTATATGTTGTGCGATTCCTTGTGCATATTCTTTTGTATTGAAACCCTGGCACAACAATTTCCTGTGGGATCAATAAAGTTCTTGCAGCTTATCTTAAAACCACATCAAGCTTCACAGTACTGACCTTTATTTGCTTTGTCAGCAATTTCTATATTTGGTGGAAGCGTGGATGGATGGATGGATGGATGGATGGATGGATGGAGTCTTGTGTTTAGCGCTTCAGTTCTTCAAATACAAACAGAGCAGATGTGAACAGCTGAGAAGACTCAGCCTCATCTGTAGCCCCCACACTTTATGTTTACGTGCGCGCACGTTTCCAACATGCAGGCACGTGGCTGTTAAAGAACAAGTCCACCCCAATCGCAAAAGACTCTCGAGCCAGCCACAAGATGGCGAACAAAGAAAACTCTCTACATTTGAAGATTTGTGATGTCAACATCTGGCCTTTTCATATAAGCCTTTCATCAAACACAAAACATGTCAAGGACAAACAGTAAGCCTCGTCAGGAGCTCCGTGTGCAAGAATTCAGTGTGTTTGTGTGTAATAGCTTGCACGGGGTACATATTACAAATGACTGTTTGGTCGTCTGTTCAGGCATGCTTTACTTTGCTCGTGTGCGTGTGTTTCATATTGTTGAGAAAACTTGAATCTACTGTGTGTTCATCTTGGCTTTTCAAGCTGCAGTTGGAAGTTACTGTTATTTCCATTACAAAGACTATGCTCACAATACAACAAAGGGCGCCCGCCGCACGACAATCAAAACTGAAGCAGCCAGCAATGACTCTGCTCTGTCTGAAACGTGTTTAAAAGAGAGGGACATCGAACTGAATGTCCCAATATGAAAGAGACTAACGAAGATTAGGAAAGTTCTTCATTTGTGCTGTTAATGAGGAAAAAGACAAAGGTGCAGCCCTGCAAAGCCCAGTCCAATTAAAGTCACAGTAGAAAGCGTGCTGTGACGTTGTTTCACCCACCGTGTGTCTGTCTCGCACTGTTCCAATTTAGCTCTTCAAGCAGAGGGGCCAAAGATTCACACCAATATTAAAGTTGTCTTTGTGGCTCTTTATCAGGCTTTGAGAAATAAAATGATCTATCATCAGCTATGGGGAGGATTTGTTTTAAATAGGGCTGCACGACATTACAAAAACGTGAGTGAGATATTCTGATGTGTGCTCAATAACCCAGGAAAAAAAAATCTAACAAAAGTATTTAAATCTAAAAGGATGGTCGAGCACAGACGAGAAACATCATCAGGCCAGGTGTCTGCAGTCTGCACTCATCTGCAGGTCAGCAGTCACTCCTTCAGGGATGAAGAGGTTCACATCCTTGATGGAGAGGAACGTTGATTTGAGAGAGGAGCGATAAAAGCCATCTTTGTGAATGGAAACAGTCCATTATTAAACAGGGGCAGAGGCCTCCGTGTTCAACTGTCCCCCTCTTACAGTGCTGTTATTGGTAGCATCATCAGCCCTCTGTGAATAGTAAGCAGCCTTAAGGGCACTAATGATCCATCGTTAGGCTGATGGTCCTCCTTCTGCATGTGAACAACTAGTTTTGGCTGTCACCATGAGGTGCTATTTATAAGACTGAGTTTGTTGCACCCTCGGACTGAAGAAGTCTTTTGGATGAAAGACGAAACCTTTCAACACAAAGAACCCGTCCAGACGACCTGACTTTACTTTTGTTAGACTGAAATATTGTTGCTTATTCCAACAACATATATTGCAATAATTTCATAATGTTTTCCTCATTCCTCTCTGGAATATTATATCTACCATATATCAAGAATGTAATATTCTTCATAGCATATTTGCCAAATTTATCAAGCAAATTTAATGTCACCAGGACACAATTTGAACATTTTGTATGTATTTGGCAAACTCAACCAAAATAAAGATACACAATACATGGAGGAGCATCTGTACTTCATGTCAGCATTCTTGCCCAGCTGTTTTAATCCTTCTCGAGCAAAATGAACAGCAGCACCAGCGGACTGTAGGCTTCATTTTTAT